CTTGTCAGCTCACCCTCCCATCCTGACATTACCTTGTCTCCTCTCACTCTCACAACCCCCTGCAGCTTCCAAACCTCGAACCCATGTGGTAACCATCTTCCACTGCTCTGGCACTGTGAGGTATATGGTCTGTCTGTCCTCAAAACAACTCATGCACATGTACATGGCCTGGGGGAGAAAGGTGATCATTTTCTAAGGTGGGACTAGATCAAGAACAATTCACTCCTTTTGAATATGCACAAAAAAAACTGATTTGAGGGAGATATTGTCAACTGTGAACAAGCAAGAAGTCAGCAACAGGTGACCTCTCACTTTCCCCTCTGCCTGTATGTGGATGCTGTGCATCATTTCAGGCAACAGGGAGTGGGATATTTATTAGGAGATGGCAAAGGGTGAGGCTGTATCTGGGGAGTATGATATCTAGTTGGGTATAAGGTCCTGCTAAAGGACATATACCATGTTCCCACACACCAGGCACATGTGCTCAACCAAAACCACCTCAGGCTGGACAGCTGCACCTCACATGAAAGGCTGCACCATCAAAAGAGTGTCCTGAGCCACTTTGTGGATGCGTGAGGTACAATCATGCTGCAGGACAGTGACAACAGGCCCAGGCAGGCAAATCCCACATTCAGGCTGTAAATCTTGCCATATCTGCACCAAATATCACAAGATAAAAGGTGACCGTGGGTAGCTTTTATTACTCAGTCACCAGGCTGGCTTCTCTACACCAACATTGTTTTCACGTTGCCCACACTGCAGGATGCTGGTGCAGCTCCACAGAGATGCCAGCAGCAGTGTAGTCAGGCTTTAACAGCCACATCACACTAACTTGGATACATGGTTCTTTTTTTTTTCCTGCCTACTGGCACTGCTGGAGAACATCCTAGGTGCAAGTTTTAGCGGGATACTTGAAGAAAAGAAACTCCTGCAGACGCCCTAACTCAGAGCACATCTCCCAGTGAATCCAGGAACAGTAAAGATTTGCAGCCTTGAACCAAAAGTGAGAGGTGCTGTTTCTGAAAGTGTTATTGGGCAGGCTGTGAGGACACTTGACTCTTCCTGAGTTTTCCACGCATGCTTTTCAAGTTGCAGCCCTACCTCTACACCTCCTCAAGGATCTGGCATAAACTTACAAGAAACCAGCAGATTGTAGGAAAAGTCCTATTTTTCCCTATGAGATGACCCTTCAGTAGAGGAGTCTAAAATCCCATATTCCTCCTGCCTCACTGTTCCCTGACCCCTAGCACTGAGTCCAACTGGGAAATTATGCTTTTCCAGAAAAATACTCACTTTTTAAAATACTGTTGCAGAGTTACCAGGAAAACAAAGAAGTTGTTTAGTGATGAAGTGGGCTTATCATCTGCTCTACAGAATTTCTACTGCTGTTACAGACTGGTGAAATACAAGGAGCCCAATTCCATTCAGAAACTATTTTCAAGGTCTGAGGCTGGAAGTAAAAAAACAAAATAAAAATCACATTTTTACCTGAAAACTCAACAATCATGATCTGGAGTAGTTAATCTGGAATGAATTTACTGCTCTTCAAGACTTGTTCACTCACTGTGGTTGAATATCCACGTGGGTGCTTGCTCCATGTTGTGTTGCAGCTGTGTAAGTTTCTACACCAGCCTGTGTGACTGAGCAGAGCTCTTCAGAGCCCTGGCAGGACAGTGAGTACAGTCCATGTTAGGGTAGTCGCAACCTGGGACATCTGAGGGTAGCAAGATGCTCGGAGAGAGGAACAGGTTGAGGAAGCTGTTTTTTAGATTAGGTTAGTGCACAGAGGGATGCGGTAGCTCCTGTCTTCAGTGCTCCTACTTGTTCCACTGGAGCACTGAACTCTCATAGCAGCTACCACAGCAATTGGAGCAATAGTAGCTACTCCTATACAAGCAAGTGCAGGAGGGATTCATCTGCCTTCCTCTGATGACTAAAAGACCTACCCCCCCCATGGCTCCCCTATTGCTAGAGGAGGAGAAGAGGTGCCTAATGCCCATCCAGTGAACACTCCTTCAGAGGTGCTGGTGTCTTCCAGGTGTCTCCCAGGTGTCTCTACATGGGATTGAAGGTTACTACCTTACTACCTCAGAATAAAATGTCTAACTTCTGGCTATCTAATGTTAGATAAGATTAGCCCTGCCGTGTGTCTCACCATGGAGACTTTCTATGGCCTAAAGACTTTGGATTCATTCCTAGATCATCATGACAGATGGACAGTGAAGTCTTTTACCATGGTTTGAAGAACACACTATGTAGTGATTTTATAGACTTAAATGCCAGGCAGTGATGCATTGCCCAATGGAGTGTCATATAAGAATCATAAATCACAATCTTGCAGGAGCTTGTGGATGTCAGACATGTGAATATGCTGATTTGGTATCCATGGTAGTTTGGCATGTCTCACATCTTTGTCTTCTGCCCAAAATAGATTAGCTCTTAAATATTACTCAGCACTTGGAGTTCTGCCACAGCACAGAAGACAGCTGAGAAAACACCAAAAATGTGTCTCCCAGTGCAAAGAAATATTGAGATAAACTTCATCGGCATTGTTCAGTCTAAAAGCAGAACCCTCTTCCATGGTGGTGTAACAACAAGGCAGGGCAAGGTTATTTGGTTAATGGTAGTTGAGGTGGAGATTTTAACACAGGCACTGGAACTGAAATAAGAAAAAATCTGAGCATGAAGCTGCTCAGCTAAAGCTCAGGACTGTAACCCTTGCTGGAGCACCCATCTCTCCTGTCTACATGTACAACTGCATTGCCAGTTCAAACTGAACACAGGAAATTTTTTGTGTAATATTTCCAGAAATAATCAAATGATAGAGGGCACAATCCTAATCATAGAGCCTCTAAGTCATTTGTTACATCCAAAGTCCCTGCTTTCACAGCACAAATAGGCAATCAAATCATATCACAGCCAAAGACAAATCTACACAATTGCACAAGCAAACAAGGCAGTTTGCCTGCAGAATATGTGGAGATGTTAATCACTTGCACCAGTCATGAGTGGGCGTGTGAATTTACCATTAAGAAGTTAGAAGTTAACATTATGGTACTGTTAAAATAAAATGTGAATTTACAGGTAGCTGAAAAGTGAATTCAAAGGCCAGTCCATTCTTTTATGTCCATAAACAGCCAAGATACAGTTTAATTTCTTCAGATAATAAAAGCCTTTTATTCACTGTGGAAAGCACCGCTCTATCTGATGGCTGTTGGAAGAGATGGTATATAAACACTCTGGACTCCCATTGCCCATTCTCCCACCTTCCCAGGGATAGGACATGTGCTCTGTGGGGCTTCCAGCAAAGCCAGTGGAAAAGGTGTGAAAACCACTGGCCTATCTACAGAAGAACAGAGCCCCCGAGACTTTTCAGTTAAAGAAGGAAAGCAGGTTTTATTCTTATCTGGGAAGAACCTGGGAAAAGTATATTGTACAGAAAACTGCTTGAAGATAATTCAAATGTCTGAGACAGAGAGGCAGGTTTTATGGCCCTGCCTGGGGTTATCCATGTGCTTGATGAAGGCTATCAGGACACACCACTCTGTAGACCATGCCTCTACTGGGGTACACTTGCTATCTCACCCTAAATATACTGTCAGGCCTGATGTGATATGACATGACTGTAAAACTCCTTTTGGATGGGGAGGAGAAAGGGAGACCTTGTGTGAAATGCCATCCATGAGTCCTTCCTTGAACCATTTCAGCTCCCAGCCCACCTGAAGGTTCATGGCGGTTTTCTCTGCTTTCCTTCCACGGGTGCAGTGCCAGGCTGGAATTGCAGGGTATTGTATTACAAGTCCCACGGGTGCTGCCTCAGCCTCAGTAAACTTTATTTAAGCACACACAGACATACACAGACAATATACATATATTTGTTTCTTCTCTGACAGTTCTACAGGACCAACACTGCTTTGGATGACACTTGTGGAGAATTTGAAGAAGTGCAGGAAATGTACGAAAAAATAAAGGTCTTTTAATAATTTGTGTCATGGTCATCCACAGAAACAACACAGGTGCATTCAACCAGGTGAGCACATGGACACATCTCCACATACAGTAATAGGTATCTCCACATACATTGTGTCTATATAAATGTACAACAGTCTCAGAAGTCAGCAGGACACAAAACCAGACGAGTACTGGCATGGCACATGCTTGCACTCCCAGTGTTGCAACCCACTGCCAGTGCACCAGTGTGACTCGGTCAGGGTGTGGGTGTGAACAGAAAGATGCTCCAAACATAGTCTCACTGTACACTATAAAAACTCACCAAATATGCAACGTCATAAAATGAACATTCATCTGGGGTTCTGGTGACCAGCTACTTTGAGTCAGATCTCACAGCTTTTGTGTCACCACAACTCCTGGGATATATGGTTACTTATCTAATATAGCTACAACTGTCTCTCAACATATATTTTATATACAGTACATATACACAGAACATACACAGAGCAGTATATGTATATTTTTGTGTTTTCATGTTTGTACATTATATCACAGATTATATGAACACATAAAATATATGTTTTAGGACCTAAAAAGAAATAATTTTATAAAATATTCATAATACCCCCCCAAAAAAAGCCCAGAAGTCAAACAAAAGAAATCCAGAAACGCACTCTTGAAGTGTTAACTGCCTGCCCTTGGACAGCGTTACACTCCTTCCCCTTCCCTTTATAAGTACAGCAGCACAATGGTGGTTTGCAACCATGCACCCGGGAAAACACAAACAGTATAAATTGTTGAACTGCAAAGTCAGAGTGGAGTCTGGAGTCTGGCTGTCCGACCCTACACTCTCCCACCGTCTCCCTTGCTAGGATTTAAAAGGTTCTGTCAGGAGCACAGTATTTTACCTGCAGCAATATTTGCTAGATTAAATCTACTGACTGCAGTCCAATACTGTTATCTCATAGCACTTAGAACCCAGCTTCTGAGTTATAGCTTTTTTATTTAAAACAATCTTTTTATTTAGCAAAAAATTGTTTCCACTGTACCCTTCGTGTGTCCTCTTCCTAATGTGACAAACCCGGAGGAGATGAAATTATGGAGATCTGGCCCTCCACTTCGATAAATATCCTTTCCATAGTGACCTGCCAAGGAAAAGAAAACAAAGAAACCTTTATTCAGTGTGTGTGTGTGTATACACACATATATGCTATACAGCCCCGCTGCCACGCTCATATATGAGTACCAAGGCCCCACCACATGGTTACATTATTAATGGCAAGCAGAAGGTATAACAGAGCATAACAGCTATAGCAGCATCAAAGACTTATTGCTTTATTGGCAAATATTTACAAAGAAGAACAATTGCATATTTTGATAACTGCCAAGGAATGAACAGATTTTGATAGGGGAACCACTAACGTGCCAAACCAAACACCCCAATGTCTGGGAAATTTGATCATCACTGGCTCAGATTCAGGTTTGCTAGGAGCAGCACTCCCAAGGAACTGGTCTCACTCAAACCTTCAAGACTAAGGAGCTAAAGGAAATCAGAAGAGATGTGTCTTTGATTCTTCCCAATTCGAGCCAGACCCCTGACAGAATTCATGTCCCATTGGTAGAGATTTTGTCTCAGCACAAAAGCAAAGGTGCAAATATCACTCTTGTCCAGGCTGGACCCAAGTCCCCATTAACAGTATGATAGCAAACTTTGTCTTTTAGCTTTGATTTGCTCTGGTCCTTGAATGGCATCCCTGGATAGTTTCTCAAGTGCAATAGTCTTCTGCAGAACACTTCCTAGGAGCTTTCTCAGTGCATGACAACAGAGTAGGTTCAGGAGACAACCAGCGTTTTAATATTTTAATATATTAATAAAGAAAAAGGCCTTCTGCCTCCCTGTTACCACGCAAAGCTCTGAAATGAGGACATAGATAATTTTTCAGATACTCTTTATCATCTCCTCCCTTTTTCATGTTGCTAATTTTTCTATTCCTTTTATTTTAGAAAGAGGCAAAGATAAGACAGGTGCAGGGGGAGGGAAGTAAGGCAGCCTCAGGGACCGGGAATGCAGCTCCCTCCCTGTTAAGTCTCTTGTCTTCTCCATGCCTTTCTGCACAAGCCCATGATGCATCACTGTTCTTCTGAGCCATGGTGGCTGGAAGTCCAGCACGGCAGATGGTCCAGTGCACGGCACTCGAGCAGGAGAGCTGAGTCAGGAAGCTACGGGGAGGGCCAAATGGGCATCAAGGATCCAGGTGCAAATGCAGCCTGGGGCTATGTTCTGGCTGGCTCACATTGCCTCTGACAGATGCTACAGTCCTTTACTATTTTTCAAACACTGAGACCAAATGCCGTTTGTTCTCATACACTTTCAGGCTCTCTGGCAACACTGTGAAAACTAATAGGAACAGACACTTTGAAATCTCATTAGTCTGCAAAGTTTTCCTCTTTCCTTTTTAGCCAGTCATTCTTACCCCAGTATCCCGGCAGCTACTACTGATTTTGCAAACCATTACTCCTGCCATCAGAGCCTGCCTTGCATATGAGTAGGCTGAGGGTAAGCACCCCCACAAGGTCTAAATTGTCCAAAAATGTCCCACTGTTCTGCCCTGCAATGGATCTGAGTATGCTCCAAACCCCACTCCCCATTCAGGGAGGACACCAGCAACTGTCTGGCCAGGAGAGCCTAGCACAGACTCTGCCATCACATGAGCATGTTGAAGATCCTCAGAAGAGGCTCACATTTGGCAGGCAGAAGATGCTGAGACTTCTGACAAATGTTTATTCCTATCTAATAGAAAAAGCATCCCACTCCCTTCCCTCACATATTTTTCTGGTCAAGGTCAGTCAAGTGCTCCCTGTAAACTTCTCAAAACACATATAAAGTGTTTCTACATGTTTGGGAGTGTTAGCAGCAAGACAGTTTTCTTGTTACAGTTATAGTTTTGCAAGGTGGTAGCAAAAACCTTCAAATGTGGAGGCATCCACTCATAAATTGGCTGAGAAGAGAGTTTCCAGAAAAAAGAAAGAAGGATTTTCTGCTTCCACAGGAAAGATCATGGGCTCTTTCTCTCTTCTTCCTGCCTAGCTCTTGCAAGCTCTGGCTGCCGTGTTCCTGGAAAAGGGTGGCAGACCTTTGCCTCTAAGTCCCTGGAAGCTACTCTCGCTTCATGAGATGTTTGTTCTTGTCCTGAGAAGCCTGCAGAGATGGTTTGTGGCTGCAATGCCCAATTCACTTTCTTTATGACTTTTCTAAAATGTGCTGCATTTTTTCTTTCCAGTAAGCCAATTTTTGCTCATATACCATCAATTTCTATGCTCTCAGGGTCAGCTACTCTGGTGACTGACACTCTATCAGTACCATAAATTTACCATTTTAAGCAAGGATAAAAGAAACACACAAATATGTGCTATTACCTCTAGCTGAAACCAGCTGTCTTTTATATGTCCCTTTGGAGAATCTGTTTAAGACAGAGATCAAGAAGGGGAAGTATATAAAAAAAAAGCAAACATTTACTGGCAGATTGAAGATCGTTCATCAGCCATTTGCTCTCTGAACCTTGCTCTGCCCCTTCTTATAGTACATAGTAGTTAAATTAAAACATCCCTGTGATAACAAACCCATTCGCATTTGAACAGGAGTTATATTTTCCCCAGAGAAACTTGAACTTGTAGACTTCAAGTAACATGAGCTTTCCTTTTTTATGGATACATTACAGGATGCTACATTTGTTTTACATGTTTTTTTATTCCTGCTCACTTGTGATCATTTCTTTTGGCTTCGCAGTGTAAAAAAGCTGGTACATGGCTTTTACTTTTAGAAGCGCCTTGGAGGCTGCTGGTGGGCCAAGCTCAGGTGCTGTTATTCAAACAGACTTTTTCATAATCACTTCTTGACTGAGATGTTTCACACTGGAAGTGAATGCTCCCTCGTACCTTACCAAAACGCATGTGTCCAGTAGCCACAGCAGAGCTAAAGAAGCTCAAGCGTAAGTAGACAAGGCTACAGAGCAGTGGAAGTGCAGACAGGGCTATGCCAGACCAGAAAACATTCCTGTTTCATTCTCCTTTGGGGCTGTTTTCCTCTTTCCTACCTTCAGCTGTGTGTGCTCTCACCCAGCTGCTGGGAGTCCTTCCGCAGTTGGAGGAGAGGGATTGGTCCTGCCAAAAGGGGGTTCAGTTCAATGAGCTGAGCTGAGCTGCTGACGGAGATGCCTGTCCTGTGGGCTAAGAAGCCCCTGGAACTTATCCAAGCTGTTCACTTTTAGTAGGCTGAAGCTGGGTGTTTCCCTCTGCCCTACGGTGAGAGTGCTAAAAATGGTCTAATTCCTTGAAAAACAAGTGTAAATGGACTGATTTTCATTTCGTTTCAGACTTTTGGGATTTTTATTGCCAATCAACACCCAACCAAACAAACCCTGTCATTCCAGACAGAAAGGACCTCTCTTTAAAACCCCACAAGGTTCCATTGAGCCCTTCCTGGTGCTGGAGGCTGCGCCAGCGCCGGCATAGTGCATGCCCCCTCGCAGGTGCCCTGTGGGGCCAGGGTGGGGGCACGGAGCTGTTGCAGGACCTCAAGCACACAATCAAATGGAGATCTCTGAGGTAGATCTGCTGTGTAAATGAGGTGGGGACAGTTTGATGGCTATCTTGTACCTGCTCTCCACAGGCATTATTCATAGAATAATAGAATCATAGAATAGTTTGGGTTGGAAGGGACCTCTAAAGGTCATCTAGTCCAATCCCCCTGCCGTGGGCAGGGACATCTTCAACTAGAGCAGGTTGCTCAGAGCCCCGTCCAACCTGACATTCAATGTTTCCAGGGATGGGGCATCTACCACCTCTCTGGGCAACCTGTGCCAGTGCTTCACCACCCTCAGCGTAAAAAATTTCTTCCTTAAATCTACCCTCTTTGAGTTTAAAGCCATTCCCCCTTGTCCTGTCGCAACAGGCCCTGCTAAAAAGTTTGTCCCCATCTTCCTTGTAAGCCCCCTTTAAGTACTGA